GGGGATAAAGGGGTGGGATTAAGTTTTTCTTCTTCCCACTCCTTTTCAGGCAGAATTGGCCAAGTTTATACCATACATTTATTGTTTATTGATTTTTTTGTTTATAATGTTTTTTGTATATTGAGTTTTGTCTGTTTGTCTTTTTGCATTATATGATTTATATTATTTAGCTGCATTTAAATACCTTGTTTACTCACCTGTGCCATTGTCTGAAATAAATGAATAAATAAAAAAAATAATACCTAAATAACTAGTTTCCATCTGCAGTCCCTGGTTACAGAGAAATAAAATACAACACAACATGAAAGTAACACCCATCCGTTCTCTATCAACCACACAACACTTAACCATTCACTACATGTGGTGACGCTTTGACGCTGGAGATGACGTTAGTGTCACTTGAAACAAAAAAAGAATAGCTAAAATAAAATAATGAACTGTGAAACTCATGTGTCAAGTCGGAATGTCCATCCATTTAATAATGAATTTGTATAAAAAAGAATAACAGAAAATTAGAGAAAAATGTCTAAACACATTTAACAGGAACACAAATAGCACGGTAAAAAAAAAAAACAAAAAAAAAATGTCCTCAGCACCACACCTGAACCGTGATTGTGGTTTCTTTTAGCAGAGGACCCTCCTATAGCGCCCTCTGCAGTATTTGCTCCACCACTACATTTCATTCATTCTGCATCAGTTACATTTCCATTTCCAAGGGTTAAGAATATTTACAACTTTATTAAAACACTTCAATCAGTGCTGACAGGTTTGGCCACTCAACAGCCACTTGTTCAGTTCACAGGTAAAAGTATTGATTTTTTAGTTCAGTTGGGAGCACTTTTATGTTGTTAAAGTTCTTTCTGGAGTGCAGGAATGGATTTGGTTTCATCAGCTGTTGACCTCTAGAGCTAATGACGTGGAACATACTGTATTGCTGCTTCCCGGTGTGTTTATGTGAACAGCAGAGAGCCGTGATGAAATATGCACTGGAAATGTGTTTATGTGATTTGGGCTTTTGTCAGAGCAGAGTTTGTGGCCTTAAGATTTTGATGCATGTAGTTTTAGGGCGTGTCCCAATTCTGTAACGCAGGTGGGAGTCTTCGGGGGGAAAAGCCGGGAACAGCAAATGGGAAAGCACTGAAAAAGATGAGCTCCACCACTTTGTTCACAGCACTATGCCAGGTTTTCATCTTCATCATACATAACATCTTCATCATCATACCTGTGCCTCCAGTTAGGTAGATTACAGGGCAGAGGAGCGTGTCCCTGGCAAGTGACAATAACAGAAGAAAATGTAGTAGTGTAAGGCACAATGCAATTTCAATTTCATGATATTTTTGTATAGAAATCACAAGTAGTTGAGTGGAGTTTGCATGTTCTCCCCGTGTCTGAGGCGTGGGTGCTCTGGTTTCCCCTACCACTAAGATAAGATAAGATAAGATAAGCTTTATTTATCTCACAGAGGAGAAATTTACATGTCACATTTGGCATGGATAGAGACACTCAGATTGTGCAAAGGGAGGAAATGTGCAAAATATGCTCACTAGGTAAAATCCTCCAGCTCCGGTTGTCTTGACCAAGCCGAGCATTAACATCTGGAGATGGGTTCCCAGGCGCTGTACTACGGCGACCACTGCTCCTGACGTAAGCCTTCGCGGCATCAGGATGGGTCAAATGCAGAGGACAAATTTCCCTACGGGGATCAATAAAGTGCACATTTACATTTACATTTACGCTTATACGGAACTACAGTACTTTACAAAACTGTTGAATTCGCTAACAACAGATCAGAGAATCAAACAGTTCACATCAATAAAAACACAGAGCCATTGGTCCATAAGGGGCAGATGACCAATGTCCGTAAATGTTGCTGAGAGTGGCGTAATACGGTACTACAAAAGAATCACAAAAGTATCATTGTTTACCCGAATGCTTTGATTGTGCTTTTATGCAAGCGTGGCCTGCATGTGGACAAAAATATATATAACATTTCCTGGTGCAGTGTATAAACAGGTGTGGTTTCTAGTCCAGGAAGTCCAGTAAGTGCTGACTTAAAAACAGGGCTATCTCCTCCAACCGGTGCTCACCTGTTCTGCAAAGTAACACATGTTTTAAAAGTAGGAAGTAAAACGAACAGACATTTGCATTTAAACAGCACGATGGCTGAATGGATAGCAGAAGGTCCTGAGTTCGAATCCCGCTCGAAACAGGGCTTTTCTGAGTGGAGTTTGCATGTTCTTCTCGTGTCGGCGTACCACTAAAACTATGCGCAATAGGTATGAATGTAGTGAATGGATGGTATTGGTTGGAGGCTTTCGATGAGTGTGTTCGGCGTCTCGCTTCTGTCATCACCCGGTGTCGAGTGATTGCAACAAAATCTGATTTCTGAACATTGTGTGACCTTGGTCTGTAGAATGCTCTGTATAAATAAACATTATTTGCTCACTAAAAATGAGTAAAAGTAAAGGTTTGTGTGATACCAGGAAAAACTACAGCTTGGGTGCCTGGGTTCTAATCACAAAAATAGTCCATCTAACAAGATTCCTAACTCTGTCACATCATGAGTTCAGTTTTCAGACCTCGTCCTCTCTCAGTGCAAAGATCTAAGAGGTGACTTTAGGGCTCCGTCTTCCAAGGATGCAAGAAAAAGTTATCACAAATAGATAAAAACAACATGTCACCGCCAGATCTAGTGCGAAGGAGAGGTTTTGCGTGTCTTTCCTTCCTGCTGCGGTCAGATTGTACAACGAACACTGCCGACCTGACCTCACATGTTGTACATCTGTGCAATAATTTGAACCAATGTCAGAATGTGCAATACAGAACTACATGTTTGTGAACTACTATTTCTTACACTAGAATATACAAATATTTTATACTTGCTTCTTTATTGCGCTAAAGTTGGAGATGTTTTTTATTTTTTATTTTAGTAAAGTTATTATAAATGTATCTTGTGCTGTATGCTCCTCATTCCTACTATTCTGTAACTGGCGATGCAACACTGACATTTCCCCATCGTGGGACAAATAAAGAATCTCTCATTCTTAATCTACAAGAATGAAAAACATAAAAACAAATTTTTTTCATGAAATAATAAAATTGGGTTTAAGTACAGAACCCAAGTTTTAAGTACAGTAGTACTGCCCACGTGAGCCCAATCACACTGTCACCACTGCCGCTGCCTTGGATTATATGAGCAGCAGATGGCCTCTGTCCTCCGATAAGATACTATTTGATTATGTTTTAGAAGCAGACTTACCCAGAAGCGGTGTCTGTGTTAAGTGGGTCAAAACATTGCTTTTCATTCAAGCTTGTTTCTTTCAGATAAACCTGTAGGCGCAGTCCACAGCAACAATGAAAGGTGATGAGTTACTTTTATACACAGCAAAAAGGGACAAATAAATAAGTCAATAAAGGCTTGAATTTAGCTAAATGTATCTTTATGTGAGCACATTCTGATTGTCTTAAAACACGATTTGCCAATGGGACAAAGCAAAACAATCTTGTTTTAAAAACAAATTCAAGAAATGTCTCCCTTGGTATGTGAGAAAATAAAGCAACAGTTCTTGAAATAAGACTTGGCTTTGTCCCATTGGCAAATGTTTTAAGACAGTCAGAATGTGCTCAGATAAAGATAAACCCCCCTCAATTCAAGAGTTATTACCTCATATTTTATCATTTTTTGCAGTATTCCTGCTGCTGGTTGACAGAAAGAGACTTGTTTGGACTTGTAAGTCCACAACAAACACACACACAGTACACATACACTGATGCAGACAGAAGGCATTAGAGCAGACTTGTTTGAGCGTGTTGGATCCATGTAAACTACAATGAAGAACTACAGGCACAAATGTGTAATGAAGATAAGAATGACAACAATTCTTTGATGTCACTATCATAATCCCATATACCTGCCACGCTCAGAGCCTTAAGTATTGCCTCTAAAACACTGCAATCAGCCCCTGCTGGTGGCAGCACAGGTAATTACAGACTGAAAGCATTATTTTTACCCTTCATTCATGTTTTACTATATGTTTTGCACAATAGATTTGTTTACTTCAAACCAATGAATGGAAAAGCCAATAGTCTTATGGTCATTTGTAATGGCCAAAATAATTCCTCATATTTCTTCTTTAAGCAGCTGTAATGGCTGCACCTGCACGTTAAAAGCCAGATCCCGTCCTCTGAAGCTAAACAGGGCAGGGCCAGGTTAGTGCATTGATGGGAGACCTCTTGAAACACCCAACGCCACCGGTGAGTGGCTGGGGCTGTAAAGTCCCAAACTGTGATTGTGTCTTTAGGCAAGACACTTCACCCACATTAGGATGGGTCTGGTGTGTGTGTATGTGTGTGAATGGTCACTTCTGTCTGTGTGCCCAATGTGGCTAGTACAGTAGAGGTTTATCACCAATGTGTATGGAGTGAATGAATGATGCCTTTGAGAGCCCAAAAAGCGCTGTATAAAATCAATGCACTATTATTATTATTATTATTATTATTATTATTATTATTATTATTATTATTATTATTATTATCATTAATATTGTTTTGTTTTGTATTATTATGAATGAGATTGGTGCGTATTGAAATATGTCTACCCTCCATTTCACTTGAGAGTATTTGCAAACGCGTCCGTGTACAAATGTATAATCTCATGTTGGCTCTGATGCTGGTGTGGGTGATCCGCCTTTAGCGTAGGTCCTGGTGCAGATCAGTGGAGAATCGCCTCAGCCTCAGCGTCACTCTTGTTTTCGTGCACATCTGTAGAAGCCCTGCCTTCTGCGCAGACCACAGACACAGACCCACCTCCAGCAGCAGGGTCCGCGTCCTCCTCCACATTCACAGCCTCACCGCAGCGGCTCCGCGGGGTGGATGCGTGCGTCAGGCGGCTCCATGACGAGGACACTCACTGAAATGATCCACGCCACATTCTCTCTGCGCGTTTTCTCATCGCACTGCGGCTAAAATTCCACGTCTCTCCCCCCACCCCGAGCCCCAGGATGATCAGCAAAGTTAAGAACGCCATGTCGACGCTGGTGGGAGGGATGGTTCCACATGGGCACCACCACCACCACCACAACCATCACCACCACAGCGGGGGGCCACAGGAGCAAAGCCTGCCTCCGCGCTTCCCCTACGGCCGCCCGGACTTTCTGGAGCTCACCCAGGAGCTCTTGCAGTACTCCACAGAGCACGCCTCACGCCCGGTCATATCGCTCAAGAGAGGCAGCAGGCTCCCGTGGAAGACTGGTTACGCAGAGTGAGTCCAATGCCCTGTAGTCTGTACTGTGCAGGATATAAAACAGAATCATCTCAGTTAAGTGTTTTAGCATCTACTGCACTGCACCAGCACCAGCCAAAATCATGTCCAAAATGGCCTACGAATACACTGCATAGAACTGGCTTTGGGACTGGCTTAGGGGGAAAGGGGGAATTCACCAGCCTGGGTTGCAACTTATGCACTATAGTCAGAGCCTACAGGCAAATAGTTTGATCAAAAGCGAAAGCAGGAAGCGTCTCTTCTGTTCCAGCTTGTGATGGTGGTGGTGAACCTCCTATCCGAGTCCACACACACTGAGTCATAACTGTATTATTAAAAAAAAACATTAATTATTGTGGGTTGTTACAGTCTGCAGTGACAAGAAAATACGTTGCATGCATAGACTGTATATATGGTTGCATGTTTATAACTAGCAGTGAAATTCAATGGTGTAGGTTTGGTTCCAATCTTGGTGGGGACATTCACTACGACCTGAGTCTACACCCATTGACACGGGGTCCAGAGTTTCTCCCCCAGAATTTGTTGTGTAATCACACACTATATTTGCAATAGTGTGTTGCCTTCTATACTAAACTCAGCTGTAGACTGAATGAGAAGCAGTTAAGGATTTGTTCTAATAGTCAGAGGAGAAAATATTGAATTAGAATCTACAGTGAGTAGCTCACTACATTGTTTGACATATACGATCAATCTCTAAAAACAATTCATAGTCCCATGCATACCTACAAAATTCCAACCTCACCTAATGCACTGAAGGGCCTGTTGCTTCTACCTCAACATTCCCTATATTGTTCTCTCTTGTTGGTTGAGTTTCCTATGTATGTTAACAGAAGATTAATCATCACAATTCATAATTTGCTATTACTTGTGCTTTCTCTTACTTACTTTCCAACTGTTAAAAAAGCTCCTGATATCTTTTATCTTTTTTTGTGGAGGTGGCATTTTTTCTAAATTATATAAGAAGGTATAGACAATCAAAAACAGACATTCATATACATGAACTGCAGAATCATTTATATAACTTGGCCAATGTCAAAAGTTACATAGTATTTCTCAATACAATGAGTTAACAAGAGTTTGGCAATAAGTAACAGTGTGGATTTGTCTATATTTTCTTTTTTTTATTCCACTCTCAACCCAAAAAGGCAAGTAATGACTCACAGGGCTCTCAAGCAAAATAAAAACTTAAATGACCTGTTGTGGTGTGTTTTGCGCACAACCAGCATGCATCGTTAACGCAATGGAAAATTTAGGTATCCGAGCTTTAATTTCGGGAGCGCTGGTTGCGCTTTGGGAAGAGTCAGGGGAGAGACATGTCAGAGACACAGGGGAGAAACGGGGGAGATACGAGGGAGACCCGCACTTGCAACATGGTTCTGTCTGCATATGGTCCGAGCTCGGTACCATGTTAGAGCTGTGCTTTCACTGAGCGCCGCGGCTGTCATTACAAAGCGGCAGCAGCTGCACCAGGACGTGCACATTCGAGTGCATCGCTTGAATGTGCTTAGAGCAAATAACAGCAAGTGCCCGCTGTCACACATTTCACAGAAATTACATTATCAGCAGATAAAGGTTGTAAATCGTGGATCCGTGGAATATTTTCATCCCTAGTTTATCCTGATTCACACAACACACCCACTTATACATTTTGGATAGTAAGAGCACAATAAGTATTTTTTCAGCCTTTCAACCAACCTGTTTCTTTATTGGAGCCAGTTCTGTTCTGTCTCTGTGCCGTGTGAGCTCCTCGGAACATTAAACAGTGCGCTGACAGATTAGAAATAACGTAAGTACTTTGAATGGTAATAGATCTACAGTACTTTCCTCTGATTACTCACGTGCTACAACGCTCAGGGAACGAAAAAAAAAAACACTTGCTTCACGCTGGCTAACTTTTAAAAATTAAACAGTCGCTCAGTGCTTCAGTTTGGCGCTGAAGAAGACAGCCAATCACTGCAGAGAACGGAACGGGTCACGTGCTGCTGCTGCTGCTGTTGCTCTGGAGGCGAGGAGGAGGCGCGACGTATGCACAAACAGAAGACATGTGTCCCGGACCGTCCGGGTCCCGGGACATCATGTCATTTTGGTGGGGACTTTTTAGTCCTCACCAAATATTGGTGGGGACATGTCCCCATGGTCCCCACGCAAACCTACGCCCTTGGTGAAATTACATGTGATCATACAATGTAATCATATAATAATGTAATACCCCGGATCACATTATGAATCGTTGACGGAAAAAAGAATGGAAAATATAAAAAGAATTGATCACAAAAAAATAACTAGCAGTGAAATGATTTAATTCAATGTGTTTTTGTATTGCCTTAAATCACAACAGTAGTTATCGCTGAGGACTAAATTTATTAGAATGAGAAAATCAAACAGTTTAAACACAAGAAATGCAGTGATACCAAAAACACATTGAGCCATTGGGGCAGACGACCAATGTCTATAAATGTTGATCCAGTCCGTTTATAGATCCAGTTCGTTAATGTTGTTGAATGTCGAGGGTCTTGGATCATCAACACTGTCCTTGGACCCTTCTGCATCAGCAAGGAACCAAATTATACTATGATCTGTGTGTTAACGGCTCGTCGCTTTGAAGTGCTGTATAAGAACTTGTCCCATGTCCTTGAGGCTGTTCTACCTGCAGTCATTTTAAGTCTATTGCAGCATTATTTCATTCAGCCCATTGGTCAAGAGGTGCAGGAGGTTCAGGATGTGCAGCTGGAGCCAGAGGAAAACACTTACGAACAATATTCCCATCTCCCAGAAGGCTTTTATACAAGACTGTTAGGTTCATGCACTGTGCTGACCAGAGTCCTGTTCAAATGGCGTCTCCACAGACACAAGTTTGAGAGACGGAGCTGGGTCTAGATTAGGATGAAGAGATCTTTTATTTGTCCAACAGTCGGGAAATGTCAATGTAGCAGTAGGAATGAGGAGCACACAGCACAAGATACGTGAACAATATACTCCATACTTTAGTAAAATGAAGAAGCAAGTAGAAAATACTGTATATTGTAAGTATGTAAGTATGTAAGTAGCATAAGAGTATATGGGACTAAGTGACAGTGGACACATGGTTCTATATTGCACATTTATTGCACATTCTGACTATATTTAAAATTATTATACGGCTCGTCACAGTAGGTTCTCAGAGTCCCAGCAGGAGGCCAGTCCCTGTCTTCCTCAGAGTCCCAGCAGGAGGCCAGTCCCTGTGTTCCTCAGAGTACCAGCAGTAGATCAGTCCCTGTGTTCCCCAGAGTCGCAGCAGGAGACCAGTCCCTGTGTTCCTCAGAGTCCCAGCAGGAGGCCAGTCCCTGTGTTCCCCACAGTCGCAGCAGGAGGCCAGTCCCTGTGTTCCCCACAGTCGCAGCAGGAGACCAGTCCCTGTGTGCGTCAGAGTCCAAGCAGGAGACCAGTCCCTGTGTTCCTCAGAGTACCAGCAGAAGACCAGTCCCTGTGCCCCTCTGTCCCAGCAGGAGACCAGTCCCTGTGCTCCTCAGAGTCCCACCAGAAGATCAGTCCCTGTGTTCCTCAGAGTCCCAGCAGAAGACCAGTCCCTGTGCTCCTCAGAGTCCCAGCAGAAGACCAGTCCCTGTGCTCCTCAGAGTCCCACCAGAAGATCAGTCCCTGTGTTCCTCAGAGTCCCAGCAGAAGACCAGTCCCTGTGTTCCTCAGAGTCCCAGCAGAAGACCAGTCCCTGTGTTCCTCAGAGTCCCAGCAGAAGACCAGTCCCTGTGCTCCTCAGAGTCCCAGCAGAAGACCAGTCCCTGTGCTCCTCAGAGTCCCACCAGAAGATCAGTCCCTGTGTTCCTCAGAGTCCCAGCAGAAGACCAGTCCCTGTGTTCCTCAGAGTCCCAGCAGAAGACCAGTCCCTGTGTTCCTCAGAGTCCCAGCAGAAGACCAGTCCCTGTGCTCCTCAGAGTCCCAGCAGAAGACCAGTCCCTGTGCTCCTCAGAGTCCCACCAGAAGATCAGTCCCTGTGTTCCTCAGAGTACCAGCAGAAGACCAGTCCCTGTGCTCCCCAGAGTCTGAATTGGTTCATATGGCGCTAACATGACACAGATTTACTTTGCTTCTGTTTTCTGTTATGTGAGTCTTCTTTTTTGGAGTCTGTCTGTGCTTCTTGTACTGGTATGGAACTCAAGTCTGTAGGAGAAAATCAAGAAAATGATGGTGACAATAACAATCACAATGTTTATGTTAATATTATAAAGGTTTAGTATGTGATCTCGCAGTAAACCTTTTTTTTTATAAATCAACTTTCAATAGAGAGGTTGAGGATTGCGTTTGGCTGCTTCTTCTAACGTCATGTGATGAAATGGTGCTATATTTGCAGTCGTGTGTGATGCTGCTAAAGTGCCAGATAAGTGAGTTTTTCAGTCATATGCTCTTCATCTTGTGACAGAAAAGTCCAGCGTTGCTCATGGTTGTGTCACCACTGTGTCAAATTCCTCCAGCCGCTGTGTGCGTAACGTACCGCAGTCAAAAGAGGAAGTTGTGAGAATTTGCACATACTGTAGCTTGTTGTTTGGCCTTTTAAGGAAGTTTCTTATGTTTGTATAATTTTTAACTTTTTGTCTCCAATGTCTCTCCTAAGAAGTCATCCTACTTCTTGTTTCTTTATTATGCTAAAGTTAGGGATTTTATACTTGCTTCTTTATCATTCTAAAGGCGGGAATGAGCAGCACACAGCACAAGAGAGAAGAACAATAACTATGTACTAAAATACAATAATATTTGTAACTAGAAGCAGGTATAAAATATCTAACTTTAGCATAATAAATAATTCATAATTATGTATAAGATCATTAATTTAAAGGTACTACTTCTGGTTGGATCATCAAGACTATTGGTCCTCCCAGTTGTCAATCATTCTGGTGATACATGCTCGTCAAATAAGACCAGAGAGTAGTTCAAAAAGTGGAGAGGGCGGTGCTTTCCTAAAAAAATTGGAAAATCCTCATGTGTAAAATCTCTAACTTAAGTATAATAACGAAGCAACTGTAATCTCTCTAACTTTAGTTTAGGTCATACATACAAGAAACTGAATTGTGTTTGTTTTAAGAATTTTACTGCTAAATAACCATGTACCAACAATGGTAAAATGTAACACAAATCTTAAACTTAAACTCAGAGTTGCGTTATGTATCGTGCACACGGACACTTCCATCCGGTCACAGCACACGTGGGAGAGGGTCAGTGTTTTCTGCTTTTAGAACAATGCTGAGGGAGTGGACCTGCCTCTCGCTGTAATGCACCGTTAATGACCAAATGGATGCCTTTAGGTTAAATTAAATTACTATCTGACTGCGCTGCCGGATACAGTCTGAACTAATGCTTTCAAACTCCCACGTGTAGAGGGTAGAATCAGCACTGGACACCTCCCCCAACACAATCTCAACACAATCTCAACACAATCTCAACTCAACTTGTCCATATAAGTCTACTCAGAAAAAAAACAGCTGTAGCCATCACTGCACTGCAAAAAAATATAAAGTATGAGGTAATAATTGCTTGAATCAAGTGTTTTAAAATATATATATATATCTTAATCTGAAAACATTCTGACTGTGTTAAAACAAGATTTGCCATTGGGACAAAGCCATTTAGTTATTTCAAGAACTGTTGCTTTATTTTCTCATTTCAAGAGAGACATTTCTTCATTTTTAAAACGAGATATTTTTGCTTTGTCCCTTTGGCGATACTTTCTTTAAGGCAGTCAGAATGTGCTCAAATAACAGAATTTTTTTTTCTTCAAATTTGAGCGATTTTTGACTTATTTTTTGTCACTTTTTACAGTGTGTTTACAGTCTGGAACCCTACAGCTAGTTTCATTCTGTACTTACTTTAAGGTACATACGACTACATATTTATTGCACTAGAATATACAGTATTTTGCACTTATTTATCATGCTAATGCTATAATAAATGATATACTTGCTTTTCTATTATGCTAAAGAAAGAGATTTTATACTTGCTTTTATAATTATATTAAAGCAAAAGATTTTATACTTGCTTCTATATTATGCCAGTTAGACATTAACAAGTCCCAAAAGACAAACCATTTTGAAATAGTATAATATTGACATGTGCCTAAATAATCAAGTATAAAACTTCCTGATGTTATCTCCTTGTTTTTGTTTTTGGATTGGAATGAACAGAACGCTCTATAATCCAGCACTTTTGGCAGCGGGACCATTTCTGTCGTGATGTAATGATCATAATCGGATAAAGGCTAGCGACTGATAGGCTTTGATATATTTGGTCATTTTTCTGGTTAAGCTCTGTCATTGTCCATGTAACTTTTCTATTTCTCATGTTTGGATTCTGTGTCCAATAACTATCCACCGTTGAAATCCAAATTGCATTTAGGACCAGCCAAGGTCATTGTATACTCATGCCCAATATAATCTCTGAATGTTATATTAGGCTTTACAAACCGGGTCAGAATGAGGTCTGCTTCGTGAACCATGAAAATCCAGCATGTGTAGCAGTGTCTTTTAGCCTTGGGTCTGGGCCAACACCTGGTTCCTGATCCTCTGCACCATATGTGACGTGTGTGGGGCTGGCTTCGCTTGCATTTTTCCCCCCACTAAAAAGCATTCTCAGGTTTATCTTTGAGCCAGAGAAATGAAATGTATAATATGTTATGAATGCTTACAAGGCAACTCGATGTGCTGAACTAAACAGCACTGCAAAAATGATAAAATATGAAGAAATAATTGCTTGAATTGAGTGTTTTTAGTGTTTATCTGAGCACATTCTGTGTTGAAACAAGATTTGACAATGGGACAAAGCAATTCATCTTTTCTCATTCCAAGGGAGACATTTCTTGTATCTTCTCTTGTGTCTTATCTTATTTTGTGGTAATCAAAATGTGCTCAAATTAGGACACATTTGGCCAAATTTGCCAAATAGAAAACATCATGCATTAAAATGATACATAAATAATATTACAATACGAGTATGAAAAGATAGATACTTTATTGATAGATACTTTATCAATCCCCGTTGAAGAAATCCAGGTGTCCAGCAGCAGAAAACACATTTATCAAAAAAAACAACATAAATACAGAATTCTAAAAGTTACTACAATAGTTTTAAATTGCAACAGCACTTAAGGTCACAGCAGCAGAGGTGGTGTAGCTGCTGATGATGAGCTGCTTCCTCTGGTTGATGCAGAGTCTGCTTGGTTTGGACCATTTTCTCTGCTCTGGTTCAGAGTGAAATTCGGAAGGCTATATTGGCATAAAAAAATAAAAATAAACATTCTCCCTGTGGATTTCTGCTTGATGGGCTTGGTTGGGGCAACAGTGGCTCAGTTGGTAGGGCATTGGCCTTGAGTCTGAAGGTTGTGGGTTCAAGCCCACCACAAGACCTACTTCACGACTCCTACTGATGACTGCTGTCGTTGTGTCCTTGGGCAAGTGAGGGGCTGGTGCTCTGTGTACTGGGTGCAGCTCTGACTGCCACCCCCCCGACCCAGAAATGGATTAAGGGGAAGAAAATGTATGGATGGGCTTGGTTGGGACCATCCTCTCTGCTCTCTCTGTAAAACCATGAACACTGTTCTTCAGTAGCAGAAAAAATAACAATTGTAAAACACAAAACATCTTTTTCAAAGCGACTTAGGACTTGCTGCCATTTCCAGAACATCAAAAAGTAATACTACACTCCTTCAGAGTGAATACGTTGTTTTTTATTTTTTTTTATAGCTTGGCAATATATGTTAATAGTGGGCCCTGATGTTGTGCCAGTTAAAAACCTCTGACCTACAGTCTGCCGTTTTACCTCTGCGCTAAATAAGAAAATGTAATGCTGTCTTCATTTGCATGGAGGACATGATTGCCACTTATGTCTTTCAGTGAGGCGTTTCAGGCGACGTTATTGAGCTGCAGCAGGGCAAAAAAAAAAAAACACACAGTGAATTACATGACCGACAAATAACAGTGACAGATGTGGTTCTATTTTGCACATTCTGACTTAAATTACTGCACAGTTGCACAGAGGTCAGGTCGGCAGTGTTCGCATTACCTGTAAACAGTATTTTGTGTTTGTGTGTGTGAATGTGTGTGTACGTGAGTGTGTGTGTGAGTGTTCTCTTTTGTGAATATTTTGTCCATATGGCTGTTATTGGTTGGGGGAATGTCTTAATTTTAGATCACTGTTGTAAATATGTGTTTTAGGGCTAGGCCTATTTTATTCATTCTGTATAATGTGTTGCACTGTAGGGAAAAGCTCAACCAGGGACAGGAGTTGAAAATTAGCATTAGCTGTACACTCTGTATGTGTCGCATCAGCTGCATTTTCATAATGTAACTATGTATGACTACATTGTCCCTGTCAAATAAATGAATAAAAAAAATAAAAAAAAAAATTACATGGACTCCCAATAATTATGCTAATCTCATGTTTTTGTATTCTTCTTTATTTTGCTAGAGTCATCAATGCGGGGAAGAGCATGCTCAATGAGGACCAGGCCTCCTGCGAGAAGCTGTTTGTGAAGAAACCCAGCGGAAAACAGAGAAATTCTACTCTTCTGGAGGACAGTGGGGTGAGACACACACGAGGGTCTGAGGGAGGAGGGAGGCTCTTCATGAGGAGCTGGACAGACCTTGAGATGCACTGCAAAAATGATCAAATATGAGGTAATGATTGCTTGAATCAAGTGGTTTTTCTCTTAGTTTGAGTACATTAAAACAAGATTTGCCAATGAGACAAAGCCAATGGAGACTGTCCTTGTATCTTTTCAAAACACGATCATTTTGCATCGTCCCATAGGAAAATCTTGTTCAAAGGCTGTCAAAATGTGCTCATGGTAGGATATTTGTCAAATTTGAGACATTTTTGACTCATTTTTTTAATCACTTTTTGCAGTGTAGAGGTGACTTAAGTAACACATTGCACAAAGTGATGAAATATAAGTAAAAAATACTCAGATTTGTACATTTTTGATTTTCCAATGAGGTAAACCAAAATTATCTTGTTTTTATAAAGGTAAACGACAGTTATTAAGAAATAAGACTGAATGGCTTTGTCCCATTGGCAAATCTTGTTTTAACACAGTCAGAATGTGCTCAGATTAAGATAAATAAAAAAAAACACTCAATTCAAGCAATCATGACCTTGTATTTTATCACTTTTTTGCAGTGCAGCAAAGTTTCTAAAAGTTCTGAATAGAGAGTCCTCCAAAAACACAAGAGAAAGAATGATCCAAGGTTTAATGAATGACATCATGTGTGGACTCCCCTCCTCCGCTCTGGTCAGAGGCAGATGTCTCATTCACTTTAGCTGTTGTGGTCACGCCAACTCACAAACACTAATGTGGCACTTTAATTACCCGGACTCTGCAGAGTACATTTATTTTTAGTATCCATTGTTTTTACAGTAAACAATAATGATATATTTTTTTTGTTTGCATAATAAAGAAGCAAAGTCTACACTGCAAAATGTGATGAAAACAGTCAAAACAATGTAAAGCAAGATTATTTTGCTTGTCCCTTTGGCAAATGTTGTTTTAAGGCAGTCAAAATATGCCCACATTTTGTACTTGTTTTTCCCATTTTTTGCAGTGTAATAACTTTAGCATGATAAAGAAGCAAGTATATCATTTTTTTCATTTCGATTTTTGTTCTCTTTGATGTTTTTATAAATAACAATTAATCCTCAATATAACAATATAAATGCATTGTTGTGGAATTTCTGCACAGGCCGAGAGCAAGAACAAGGAAAACACCCAAGAGCTGTAATACCATCAAACTGTGAATTTGTTCATTAGTAAATGTGCACATATACAACGAATAAGGAATCATGTCACTGAAACCACCCGGCAGCGTTCCGAAGTCGTCTTCCCTGAATGAGGAAATGACTGGACATTAAAAAGACCAGAGTAACACATATCTACTGAACTGTTTGATTCTCTGATCTGTGATTACACATATCTACTCTAGATAATACCAGTGTGGGCGGGTCCCAGCTCAAAAGTGGCCAAAATGACGTGCGCTGACATGCTTGCAATACCACCCCGGGCCGATGGGGGTGGACCCAGAAGAAGAATTAGCCAATGCTAACATATAGCATTGGCAGACCTCTCGAAAACGTCTTTACAGGATGGACCAAAAGTTGGCTCTTGGCCCAAAACTCCGTTCCACATGTGTGTCAAAGCTGAGGGGGGTGGATTTTTTTGGTCCAGTCTAGTTTACTCGCTGTGAATTTTTGAAGTCAATTTTCTTGTGGGCGGGACCACTCGCGGACATTTTGCATAGCTCCAGTAGAGCACATTTTTTGGCCCATTAGTTAGAACGGCGGAGATAGGCGTGACTCTGTCTGTTAATATATACAGTCTATGGATAATACACAAGTGAATTCAGTATTCATGTGTCGCTCAAGGCTTCTCCTCACACTTCCTCACACTGATACAACTCTTGAGACCTATAATAATCTGCTTTGACCTGAACACATTATTCTTAGACACAGATATTGCCTAGACCATGCTGAAACATATTTCCCATCTATCAGCTAACCTTACTGCCAACAGAAAAACAGATAATATATTTATTTATATAATAAGTAATCTTTATTTACAAAGCACTTTACAATTGTTATTTTTGGGCATTTGTCTCTCACTCCACACAGAGAAGGGAGCGAGGTTGTCATACAGGAGGCGCATGCCAGATCTATTGTACATGTTTTTAGTGGTAGGGGTCAGGGACACGGGGAGAACATGCAAACTCCACTCCGAAAGGTCCTGTTCTGACTGGGATTCGAACCCAGTACCTTCTTGTTGAGAAGGAGAAAGTGCAATCCACTCAGCCACTGTGTCGCCCAATACATTTTGTATTTGAATCAAGAGTTGAGGATTAGTTGATTACTTACTCTTATAACTTTGATGTGAATTCAGATTTATTTCTATAAGATTCCTATAATAGCATCAATAGTGTTGTATCTTAAAATTCAATTTAATTTAACACATATTTATGCAGCCCTAAATCACAACCGCAGTTATCTCGGGGGACTTTACTAAGCTGTCGATTCACCAACACAGATCAGAGAATCAAACAGTTCAAATACAGGAAATGTAATGATAAAAAACACATAGAGCCATTGGTCAAAAAGGGGCAGATGACCAGAAGTCCATAAATGTTGATAAAGTCCATTAATATTCCTGAATGTGGAGTGTCCTGGATCATCACCGCTGTCCTCAGACCATAGCACAAAACTTAAACTTCAACCATCAGAATAATTTAGCATAATCCAATCCAAGTGCATGGTTTTTTTTTTCTTTTTGCAGGATGGCACAGGCATCCCGATGCACTTCTGGGGCGTGTACGACGGACACGCAGGTTCTGGAGCCGCGATTATGGCGTCAAAACTGTTGCACAGACTCATACGCGACCGTCTGGGAGAGATCTGCCACCTGCTGGAGAACCCCAACACTGCGCCCCCTATCTGCCTGGCCAAAAACGGAAACCCCTACCAGGCCGACGCAAAGAAGGCCCCCGCCCAGGAGCCAGAGGTCCCCGATGCCGTCTGTGACTCCACCCTGAGGTTCCACATGGAGAAGACTGTGAGTTTGGAAAGTCTGGTCATGGGAGTCATAGAGACGGCTTTCAAACAGATGGTAAGTGATAGACCACATTGTTATTAATCCTTACGAATTCTGAAACTACTGGAACTCCCACAGCAGACATTTTGACGGCTCCCATTGAAATGAATGGAACTTTTTTTTTTCACTAATTGTGTTCAAAATTAAGCAAATACATTGTTTTATCTTTGTCCATCCATCCATATTCTTCCCCTTAATCCATATCTGGGGGGATACATTTCTGTTATAGATACAGAAACGTTTTGAAGACCACAAATGTACATGAGCGCCGTAATTACACTTCTAAAATGAAAAGTGTGAAAACGAGTGATACACTGTAAAAAGGGATGACAAATTCTCCTGATGTATCTAAATTTTTGCACATTCTGATTGCTTTAAATCAATTTTTGCCAATAGGGCGAAGGAAAATTATCTTGTTTTAAAATGTCTCCCTCCCCTTTCAAGAATTCTTTAGATAAGACTAACAAGACTTGTTTTAGGACAGTCAGAATGTACTTCAATTGAAATAAAAAACTCTCAAAGCATTCATTACCTCCATATGTTGTCATTTTTTGCATGGTAACACCAAACTGTTTTAGAGCCAGACATTATTTCCATGGGTGTCTTTACATAGTTAGATGAATTATGGTTTGAAAGTGAAGTAGCCCAGCTCTCTGCTCAGTGTTTATCCTGTATCCACACTGACTGCTTTTATTTGTAAACTACTGAATTGTAACTCATGAAGCCGTAAAGATGGCGCTGTGGCAAGAGCTCTGGTGTGTGTCGTCTTCTCTGTCTGGTGCACTCTGTAGTCTTGGTGCTTCTCTGTAGTCTTGCACAGTTTTTCCAATGTGGTTTTACTGCAAATGGCAAATAAATGAATCTGAATCTGAATCTGAATCTGAAGCCTGTTGATACATATTCATAACAGAGAGGTTTATGCCAGGTTAATTCTCACCAAGAATGAGAAACATAAGCTCACTGCATTTGCACACCATTTTTTTTTCCATTGGCAAAACTTGCTTTTAGAATCAAAATGTGTTCAGTTCAGGATGAGATAATCCGCCCTCTGAGGTCACAGGATCTAAAGTGGGTGCACTAGAAATGTGTTATAAATATATGTGTTCCTTCTTATTCCAGGATGACCTCATTGAAAAAGAAAAAGCATCGTATGCTATCTCCGGAGGCTGTTGTGCCTTAGCAGCAATTCACCTAATGGGGAAACTGTATGTGGCCAACGCTGGAGACAGTCGGTGAGAACAAATATTATTATCATTATAGGAATTTACCGATATGAGTCTGAGATAACAGAGGAGATCAAGTTTGCAAGGTCAGGCGTCTTATTCTAGGATTTTGACCGAGTTCAATCTCAATGAAAATATATGTTTGTATAGATAGATACTTTATTGATCCCCGTAGGAGAAATTCAGGTGTCCAGTAGCACCAAAAATAAAAAATAATAAAATTGATCATTCTAAAAAGTTAAAAATCGTAATAATCAACAGCCCTTCAGGTCACAGCAAAAGAGGTGGAGTAGCCTCTGGGTGAAGCAGGACGGGTCACATCAGAAGAGGGGGAGTAGCCTCTGGGTGGAGCAGGACGGGTCACATCAGAAGAGGGGGAGTAGCCTCTGGGTGGAGCAGGACAGGTCACAGCAGAAGAGGTGGAGTAGCCTCTGTGTGGAGCAGGACGGGTCACAAGGTGGAGAAGCCGCTTGGTTCGGACCATTTTCTCTGCTCTAGTCCAAAGTAAAATGCTAATTGCTTCATTAGCATTTTTCAAAAAGTTAGCATTCCTGCAGTGGACATAAATCCTGTAGAGCCCTAAATCACAACAGTAGTTATCTCAGAGGACTTTACAACGCTGGGGATTCGCCAACACAGATCAGAGAATCAAACAGATCCAACTTAAGAAATTAAATGATAAAAAACAACTGCAGAGAAAACGTGGTTGATAAGGGGCAGATGACCAATGTAGCAGGATTTTAATTAATTATGTCCAGTCAGAAACCTGTGAGGGCGGGTCTAACTGGGTTTAACTTACGTTTTGAAAACATCTCTCTATCTTCGTCTGTCCTTCACTTTAACACAAGAATCGATCATTATTTTTAGGTCTCTCGGGTAACACATTCTATTTTCAAGATCATTCCAAATTCCGCTTGCCCGTAGACCAACTGGTTACATATTTATGCAAGATAAAGTTCAAAGGGTTATGGCAGAAGACGTGTGACATTTTGGTCCCAATGTGCTTAAACTAAGGTACATTTTACAAAAAAATGTCATCACTTTTTGCAGTGTAGATGCTACAGAAATAACACAGATAACAAATATTTTCATGTGTTTGGTTGTCACACTTGTTTTGGTTTGTGTGTATCTGTATTTCTGCAGCGCCATAATCATCAGAAATAATGAAATCGTTCCCATGACGAATGAATTCACTCCTGAGTCAGAGAGACAGCGATTACAATATCTGGTAAGAACACTTCAGATTCACATTCATCTTATTTGCCATTTGCAGCAAAACCACAGTGGAATACATTTACAAAAGTCCCCAGTATGTGCACGAGACAAGTACAAGGTAAAAAGAACAGGGATAAAACAAGCTAAAAGTATTAAGGTTGTGTATGACGCAGGAAAATATGAACTTTGAGGTAAAAATTGCTTGAATCAAGTGGTTTTTAGCTTCATTTGACTTCATTCTGACTGTCTTTAAACAAGATAGCTTTATTTTCTCATTTCCAGGGAGACATTTCTTCTTTCTTTTTAATTGGCAGATCTTGTTCTAAGGCAGTCCAAATGTGCTCAAATTAAGACTAATTTTTCATGACTTGAATCAAGTGTTTTTTATTTTAGTTTGAGCACATTTTGACTGACTAAAAACAAGATTTGCCAATGGAACAAGCAAAATGTCTTGTTGTGAAAAGATACAAGAACTTTTATGAAATGTCATCCTTGGAATGAGACATAAATTGCAACAGCACTTGAAATAAGACTAAACGGCTTGTTTCATTGGCAAATCTTTTTAAGAAAGTAAAAATATACTCAAATTGAGATAAAAAAGACTTGATTCAAGCATTTATTACTTTATATTGTGTCACTTTTTGCAGTGCAGTCACTTGTGTGTCTCTGTTCTGGATCAGAGTGATATTCTTGATACAATTACTGGAAGTGCATGAGAAAAATGAGTGTATTATTCAAACTGACTCTGCTTGTCCCGATATGGACGGTGTGGAAAGGGAATGTACAACGTCTGAACAAGAGACAATCCTCCGCTGCTCTGAAATGTCTTTGTGAGTCACTGTGTGGGTGTCTCTGCGCTAAAACAGGAAGTGTTGTTTAGAGTATGATGCTCTTCCTTTTATAGCTCAATACTAAAAACATCTCAATCTGGAAAGACTCAAAGATTGCATTAGACACATGTATATTGGCGTTAGGTAAAGAGGGTGAGAGGGTGAAAGGGTGAGTGATAGAGCTGCAACTAACGATTATTTTGTAATCAATTAATCTATCGATTATTTTTACGATTAATCGAGTAATCGCTTGGCTGTGAATTGTGTAGAAAAAATTATTTTTTCATCACAAAAAGCTAAAGTGGCAACACTCGAGGACGTATTGATGGCGTAAACTTAAAGTAAATGTTTGTAACAGGCTCTTTGTGCTAATTCTGCTATCTGATTGGATGAGACAGACAGACACTCAGATCTATGTCTCACTGACTGCAGGAGAACATGGACCACTGGATTTGCTCCTTCACTGTATCCAACAGATCAGTGACTGGATGCAAAATAATTTCCTCCAGCTAAATGCAGACAAAACCGAAATCATTGTCTTTGGTCCCCAGAAACAAAGAGAGGGCGTCATTTGTCAACTTCAGTCTCTCTCCCTACTTCCTTCAGACAAGGTCAGAAATTTGGGGGTAATACTGGACTCAGACCTAAATTTCAATAGCCACATAAAATCAATAACGTCAACAGCTTTTTACCATCTGAAGAACATTGCCAAAGTTAGAAATATAGTGTCCAGGGAAGACTTGGAGATTCTTGTCCATGCATTTGTCTCCAGCAGGCTAGACTACTGCAATGGCCTGCTTACAGGTCTGTCCAAACAGACCTGTAAGCAGCTGCAGTACATCCAAAATGCAGCAGCTAGAGTCCTGACAGGAACCAGGAAGTATGACCATATTAGTCCGGTCCTCAGGTCACTGCACTGGCTTCCTGTGGCTCAGAGAATAGATTTTAAAACAGCTCTGCTTGTGTACAAGTCTCTCCATGGCCTTGCACCAGAATACATTAGTGACATGTTGGTGTCATATGAACCAGCCCGGACTCTGAGGAGCACAGGGACTGGCCTCCTGCTGGTGCCCAGAGTGAGAACCAAACATGGGGAGGCTGCGTTTCAGATCCATGCAGCTAAGATCTGGAACAATCTCCCTGAAAATGTGAGGGAGGCGTCTACTCTGTCAATGTTCAAATCCAGGTTAAAGACCTGTTCTGTTTGCCTGTGCATACAACTGAAGGATTTTATCTCCATTTCTAATGCACTGCTGTCATTTATTTATTTTTTTTAATTTCTTGTGTAATTTTGAAAGTTTTAATGGTTTTATTCTTTTGTGTGATTTTAATGTTTTAATTGTGTTTTAATCTTTTGTGTGATTTTAATGTTTTAATTGTGATTCTGGTGTTTGTTTTATGTGATGATTTGTGATGTGGACTGTGAAGCGCTTTGTGCTGCCCTGTGTATGAAAGGCGCTCTACAAATAAACTTTGATTGATTGATTGATATTCATGAAATTATAAAAACAAAGTCGGTTTACTCAAAAATACTACATTTTCATGTCATTTTTGCTCTGTTTGAGTCCGTGTGAACCAGAAAACGATTAATCGATTACTAAAATAGTTGTCGACTATTTCAATAATCGATTAGTCGTCGATTAATCGATTAGTTGTTTCAGCTCTAGTGAGTGAGTGCTGCTGTGGGTTGGATACAGTATATACAAGAATCTCTTCAGGATCCGTTTGCAAAAAGTTCTATTCGACGAAGAAAACTAGGTACAAATCTTGTACACATACAGTATTACCAGCTTATTAACAGAGCTCGAGTTCTGTATGGAGAAATATCAGACCGCGGCCTTTATGTACAGAAAGGCAAATGTGCAAAAAGGCCAAGGCTCTGTACAGACCGAGCAAGCGAGGTTCATAAATGTTTTATTATATGACTCTCGTCTGTGTCTTTACCAATGCTTTTGAGATATTTGTAAAGTATGATCATGTCCGACTTGGTTTTGTGTGATACGGGCTGTGGACCGATTGTCATGGTAACGGTCCGAGGGAAGATATGATATCAAATGTGATACGTGCTGTTCGGACCAATTGTCATGGTAACGGTCCGAGATGGGAAAATATCAGACCGCAAATCAACCAACCGCGTACGGTCCAAGTCATATAATAAATACATACATTCATATATATATGTATTAGACCCAGCAGATGTATGAGGAGGTACCAATATGACTCACAGAGCAGTCAATTTGATGGATTTTATTTTTATTTTTACTCCACTTACGTACGATTGTGCCTTTTTCTGTTTCTATATGGAGTTTAGCATTATTTTGATTACATTATTTTTATGTAATATAATTTTGCAATATATTAGTTCTACCTCTAATTCCCAGAGCAGACCTTTTATGGCAGTTAAAGTATAAAGACAAACTTAACTAACTTAATAAAGAAGCAAGTATAAAATGTTGTATATTCTAGTGCAAGAAAAATAGTTGTATGTACAGTATACATCTGAGCATGTTAGCAGCATGAGGGTGTGGGACAAAGTGACAGGTCAGTGACATATGTGGTTCTATATGCTACATTCTGACAATATTCAGATTATTATTGAGTTGCTTGATGCTGCAGGACTGAGAAGCTCTAATGTTATCTCCCAGTCTGATTTCACACTTTAGAAACAGAATGTGAAGACTCGTGAAGTAATAACTGCTGTTGCTTTGATTAACACCTGGTTTTGCTGCAGGGTTTTCTGAGACCGGAGCTCCTGGGGAATGAGTTCACTCACATTGAGTTTCCTCGGAGGATTCAGCACAACGAACTCGGCAAGAAGATGCTCTACCGCGACCACACCATGACGGGCTGGTGAGTCCTACAGTTTAGATCAGGGCATTTTAACTGGCACACAAATCAAACGCTCCCCAAAGACTCAGATTACGATTATTTGCAGTGAAAAATGTCTCTGTGGTCTCTCTCTGTGGTCTCTATCTCTCTGGTCCCTCTCTCAGGTCTCTCTCTGGTCTTTCTCTGGTCTCTCTCTCTCTGGTCCCTCTCTCAGGTCTCTCTCTGGTCTTTCTCTGGTCTCTCTCTCTCTGGTCTCTTTCTCAGGTCTCTCTCTCTCTTGTCTTTCTGCTCTCTCTCTGGTCTCTCTCCCTGGTCTCTCTCTGGTCTCTCTTCTCTCTGTCTGCTCTCTCTGTCTGCTCTCTCCCTGGTCTCTCTCTGGTCTCTCTTCTCTCTCTCTGCTCTCTCCCTGTTCTTTCTCTGGTCTCTCTCTCTGTTCTCTCTCTGGACCAAACATGACTGTCACAAAGTGCTTTCCAGACATTACAAAATACAACACAACACACAAATAAATCAATATATATATTATATCGGCTCCCTCTGCTCTCTCTCTCTAGCTTTAACTTAATTATAAACCACCTTCTTCTGAGGAAATACTCAGTGGGAATTGTAAAAAAAGCCTTTACATGTATTGTAAAAGTTGTCATTTCTTGCAGGGCTTACAAAACAATTGTTGAGGACGACCTAAAATTCCCGTTGATTTACGGAGAGGGTAAAAAGGTAAGATGGTGGTGTGTAAACAGTAAACAAATAAATGATTATGATTATACTGTATGTTGTATAGTAATATGTGCTATATGGGTTGCAGGCTCGTGTGATGGCCACTATCGGGGTGACCAGAGGCTTGGGCGACCACGAGCTAAAAGTCTACAATTCCAATATTTACATCAAGCCTTTTCTTTCCTGTGTTCCCGAGGTTAGTGAGCGTCTCCAGTCCAACTATATTCTGTGTTAAAGCTGGAGAATCTAACTTAAACATAACATAAATACCTTTTTTTGTCTCCATAGAAAGACTGTTGTTTAGGCAATATTTGTCTCAGGTTGTAAATACATGTGAAAACAAGTGATTGAACCAAACAGTTTTGAGTGTGGATGTGTTAAAGAAATTCAATACAGTATTTTTATTACAACATAATAATAATACAAACTATTTCATAATTATTTTCTTATGGTCATGGATCATTTTAGCTTTTATGTCAAATCTATTTAAAATTCCCATAATTACAGGCCTTTTATGACTCATATATGTACGTCAAATTATCCAGTCTCGCTCGTGAAATATATGAAACTATAGAGGATATGAGTTTAATTTAAATAGTACTAGATGGTACATAGATTGTGAGTGTGTTTCTCATGACCACAGGTTATGGTGTACAACATGGAGGATAACAAGCACGGTCCCAACGACGTCCTGGTCATGGGCACAGATGGATTATGGGATGTGACCACTGACAGGGAGGTGGCAGATGCTGTGTCCACGTACTTATCCTGCTGTGACCCTACTGATCCCATGAGGTATGTGTCTCACTGGGCTCCCCCTCTAAGTCCTGTTTATGAACCTGTGTGTGAACGTGGGCCTGGTGCAGAGGAAATATGTCTGTGTTCATCCACTAGATGGCAGTGTTGGTTTGGAAATGAATCCATCAGAATAGTTGGAAGTTAACCATTTCAAATAACAGATTGGTGTGTTTGTTTGTGTGCATGCATAAATTCTGTCCAAAAAACAGTGAACAGAACCGGTGACAAAGAAACAGGTCTGACTTAGTGCCATTGGTGCAAACAAAGCCTGACTCCCTAAACCCTGGAATATGGGCCGAGCACTTTCTCCAGATCCACAGAGCATATGTGGTCTGAGGTGAACCCCCATAATCCTCTGTATCTGATGGAGCATATATAGAGCTGGTCCAGTGTTCTGCAGCCTGGACCAAAACCACACTGTTGAAATCTGTCCTGAATCCCAGATGCTACCATCGGTCGGAGTCTCCTCTCCTGGACCAAGAGTAGACCTTATCGGGGAGGCTGAGGAATGTGATCCCACCATAATTGGAACAACCTCTCTGGTCCCCCTTTCTTGTAGAGAGGAACCACCACCCCAGTTTAAGAAGAACCACCATAAAGTATTCCTTCCACCCAACATTCCTAGTCTTTCCTACAAAGTAAAAACTACCCAGACGTCAATGAATAATACTTTGCGTAATAACAGCGTAACAACCACAGTAACAAGAGTGACTATGAATAAGATAGAAATTATATTTAGTGGGAATTTTGTTTTTTGACTCTTATATTTTGACGTGTTGCTTTTCTTTCCCTACGGTGAATCTGCGACGCGGCTCCTACCAACCTTGTCTCACATTCCTGCTGCCTTGTGTGTATGTGTGTCCTGTAGGTACTCTCTGGCCGCTCAGGACGTGCTGATGCGGTCGCGCGGCGTGTTGAAGGAGCGCGGCTGGAGGTTACCTAACGAGAGACTGGGCTCCGGAGACGACATTACGGTTTTTGTGGTCCCACTGGCAGGAAGCGAGCCAGAGACATGACCTACCCAAGACCACTGTGAGACCCCCCCCACCACCACCACCAGGACCACCTCCCTCATCTCCCCTGGATCTGAAGCGATGGGAGACAAGACTGAGCATCACCCGTGTCACCCCAGACTGCTCTCACTTCATTTCGTCACGTTTAAGGTTCACTGATTTGGGCTTTGAAGGTTCTGATAAAACAAGTGTAGAGAAGCTAATATCCGTCAGATTGATCTGTCAGACTGGCTGCATCCGGTGACCAGATTTTGCCAGACCTGTGAGGCTAAGCTGCGCAGGGCCTGGTTAGTACTGTGATGGGAGACCTCTGGGAACACCAGGTGCCACAGTGGGGCGGTTGCGGCTGTAAAGTGCCAAACTGTGCTTGTGTCCTTTGCCAAGACACTTCACACACATTAGAATGAGTCTGCTGTGTGTGTGAATGGTTGATGGTGGCAGGTGTGGCTACAGTAGTATATTTTCACCACTGTTTATGAGTGTTCAAAAAATAAACTGAATTATTGTTACCATTATAAGAGACACGTCACACCATCTACAGCCCAAAGATGTGGTATATTAAGCAGAACTTGCTTCTTTACACTTTTTTTCTCATTAAAAGAACCTTCTAAATCTTCTAAACAAAAGGAGACATGAAGAATTTTACTTTTGGCATTGACTTCCGTTTAGGGTTGCACGATTCATCGCAATCATAATCGCTATTTCTGTGGTCACAATTAGAAAAATCGCAAACACTGCAATAGTTTTTGACAAAGAAAAAGGGAAATAAAACAACAAAAATCACTTGAATTTGGGGAAAGAATGTCCCTTGAATGGACTATGTTTTGGAAATGTGTCAAAAGGTTGTTTTCATGGCACATCAACACATTCCGAGAAGTTTAAAATCATGGAGGAGGGCAGCTGAACAAATCTATACAAGTAACCATAGTAACTGTTTAAGTTTATGATACATTTCTCTGTAAATCTTGGCCCAATCACATTTTTGTACTTTTTTTCATCACTTTTTGCAGTGTAACTAAAGTAAAACAACTAATTTATCAAAATACCTTTCATAATGTTAAATATAAAAAATAACCATCTTTATCATTTCGGCCCCCAACCAGCCCTTACATGTTTTATTTGACCTATAAATGAGTTTGACAGCCTCTCTCCAACTTAATGACTGGAACATATTAAGTTGGAGAGAGAAGTTTCCTGATAATTATAATGATAATAAATATTAGTTTGTAGAGAACTTTTAAAAACAGTGTTTACAAAGTGCTGCACAGTCAGCATCAAACCGTCAAAAGAGTCCGATCAAAAAGAAGTACAGCAGAAAGAAGCAGATAGAAAACAAGAAAGACAAAACAAAGACAAAGCAGACAGTAAAATACAGTGTGAAGTTTAAAACTAGCAGTTATAAGCTTTTCAATAAAAGTGGGTTTTAGAAGGGATATAAAAGCGGGCACTGATGGAACTAGCCTCATCTCCTCAGACAAGGGGTTCCAAAGCTGAGGACCCCGGACAGAGAAGGCTCGCTCACCTTTCGTCCGGAGCCTCGACCTTGAAACAGGCAACAAGGATCTGCGGGAAAAATGGCTCCCAAGTTTATAAATATTTCTTGGTGCCAGACTTAAACTAGCTTTAAAAGTGATCAGTAAAATCTTAAAATTACGGCACTTGAAAATTTGCACACGCTGATCATGTTGAAGTGCACGTTTTGGTACTTTTTAATGAATGTGAATAATATTTTTTCTGTATAGACTAAACCTTTTTAATGATTTAGAAGCACCGTTTAAACGCAGTCCCCTGGTCTGTTTCGGCTTCAGTAAACGTCAAAGTTATTTAAACAAGGGACTAGACTTCAGTTGCAGTAAGTTGAATATAGTGAGCAGAGAATGCCCTTAAATACACATTTTACCTCGTGTACTGTTTTGTTTTGTATCGTTTGAGATTATCCATATATTTTTCAAAGCAGAGGTTTTATTTTTATGTTTCTCTCCATGCCTGTGTTGAAGGTTCTGTATCTTATGTCAAAATAAAGAGGGAAATCATCGACAGGTTTTGAAATAAATCTGATTTTCTTTGCATTTGCATCCTGGTCTTGTGCTTTCTTATTTACAGTAGTTCACTTCTTTATTCTGCTAAAGTTAGAGATGTTATACTTCTGTCTGTAGTTTGTAGACATTTGTAGTTTTATAAAAAGAGCTTGCCTCCTCCAGGAGCAGTACTCGGCTAAGAAGATATCGTTTCCGTGATGAAGCAGTACCACCCACAGAAAGTTACACAATGTTGCCTTAAACACCGGTCTAAATTATGTCTGTGATGGCTGCTAATGTAACTGCGGCGGGATGGAGGCTCTCTGATTTATCTCTTCAGGCAACTGGGTACAACGTGTTCCTATTTTCAGGAATATCTGGATGTTTCAGTGAGGTGCGTCAGCCTGTGTGTGTGTGTGTGTGTGTGTGTGTGTGTGTGTGTGTGTGTGTGTGTGTAGTGTATATGTATGTCTGTGTGTGTGTGTGTGTGTAGGTGTATAGTGTATATGTATGTCTGTGTGTGTGAGTGTATTGTGTATATGTATGTCTGTGTGTGTGTGGGTGTGTAGGTGTGTGTGAGTGTATGTGTATAGTGTATACAGTGCCTTGCGAAAGTATTCTGCCCCCTTCAACATTTCGCCACATTTCAGGCTTCAAACATAACGATATAACATTTGAATTTTTTGTCATGAATCAACAACAAGTGGGACACAATCGTCAAGTGGAACGAAATGTATTGGATAATTTAAACTTTTTTAACAAATAAAAAACTGAAAAGTGGGGCGTGCAATATTATTCGGCCCCTTTACTTTCAGTGCAGCAAACTCAGTCCAGAAGTTCAGTGAGGATCTTTGAATGATCCAATGTTGTCCTAAATGACTGATGATGATAAATAGAATGCACCTGTGTGTAATCAAGTCTCCGTATAAATGCACCTGCTCTTTGATAGTCTCAGGGTTCTGTTTAAAGCGCAGAGAGAACCATGAAGACAAAGGAACACACCAGGCAGGTCCGAGATACTGTTGTGGAGAAGTTTAAAGCCGGATTTGGATACAAAAAGATTTCCCAAGCTTTAAACATCTCAAGGAGCACTGTGCAAGCAATTATATTGAAATGGAAGGAGTATCAGACCACTGCAAATCTACCAAGACCCGGCCGTCCCTCCAAACTTTCATCTCAAACAAGGAGAAGACTGATCAGAGATGCAGTCAAGAGGCCCATGATCACTCTGGATGAACTGCAGATAACTACAGCTGAGGTGGGAGAGTCTGTCCATAGGACAACAATCAGTTGTGCACTGCACAAATCTAGCCTTTATGGAAGAGTGGCAAGAAGAAAGCCATTTCTCAAAGATATCCATAAAAAGTCCTGTTTAAAGTTTGCCACAAGCCACCTGGGAGACACACCAAACATGTGGAAGAAGGTGCTCTGGTCAGATGAAACCAAAATCGAACTTTTTGGCCACAATGCAAAACTATATGTTTGGCGTAAAAGCAACACAGCTCATCACCCTGAACACACCATCCCCACTGTCAAACATGGTGGTGGCAGCATCATGGATGGGCCTGCTTTTCTTCAGCAGGGACAGGGAAGATGGCTAAAATTGATGGGAAGATGGATGGAGCCAAATACAGGACCATTCTGGAAGAAAACCTGTTGGAGTCTGCAAAAGACCTGAGACTGGGACAGAGATTTATCTTCCAACAGGACAATGATCAAAAACATAAAGCCAAATCTACAATGGAATGGTTCACGAATAGACGTATCCAGGTGTTAGAATGGCCAAGTCAAAGTCCAGACCTGAATCCAATCGAGAATCTGTGGAAAGAGCTGAAGACAGCTGTTCACAAACGCTCTCCATCCAACCTCACTGAGCTCGAGCTGTTTTGCAAGGAAGAATGGGCAAGAAGTCCAGTCTCTCGATGTGCAAAACTGATAGAGACATACCCCAAGCGACTTGCAGCTGCAATTGCAGCAAAAGGTGGCGCTACAAAGTATTAGCGCAAGGGGGCCGAATAATATTGCACGCCCCACTTTTCAGTTTTTTATTTGTTAAAAAAGTTTAAATTATCCAATAAATTTCGTTCTACTTCACGATTGTGTCCCACTTGTTGTTGAGTCTTGACAAAAAAAAATGTCAAATACTTTTGCAAGGCACTGTATGTATGTCTGTGTGTGTGAGTGTATTGTGTATATGTATGTATGTGTGTGTATATCTATGTGTGTGTAAATGTCAATGTAGATGTCAGCTTTATTTGTATGGCACATTTACAACAACACCCGCTACCCAATTCGTGCTTCACATGAACAAAAGATAAGCAGCATAAATTAATATTAGCCTCCTGAGACCCTGCGACCTCATACGAGGACATTACATTTTTGCCTCTTGGCACAATGATACTCAATTTTTTACATCCTTGACCTGATGGCCACATTTAGGGACACTGCCCGCGCCATCTTGTGGTGATATGATAGAATTACACTTAAGGCAGTAGGAAAAAAATGGTGGGAATATCAACAAAATACTTCTACAAGAGTTCACAGAAGAAAAATGCCCCAGGTAAAAATTCTATCAACATTTTATGAAGTTGTAAATAGTTATTTTGAATCACATATTTGCTTAGTTATGTGGTTTACAGTTGTAAATAGTATATTTAAGTACTAAGTGGTATATGCTAAGTATTGTTTAGTGTTGCTAAATGCTTAATCATAAACAATAAAGCTAGGCTATAGCTAGCACATGATAGCCAAGCTATGATGTGTCACTGATATACTGTAGATTTTGATGTTGGTTTTTAAAATTATCATTACAGGCACACTTTCATTATCAAGAGCAGAACAATTGCTGTTGGCAATTGCAGACAACTCTGAGATAGAGGACTTCTCAGATGGGGATGATTGTATCATCATCTCATACCTGTCAGTCAGCTTCTGGTGTTTCCCACGGGGAGAGGCGGCGAGCTGAGGTGGCCATACTCATTGCCTCCCATCTCAGCCGCCACGTGTTGGAGTTCTCCCCGGTGAATGTCCCCCACCCTCCGGGTGGGGGACAAGTCTCTCACTGTTGTGACGGCCTACGGGCCTAACGGCAGTGCCGAGTACCGGCCTTCTTGGAGTCCTTGGGAGGGGTACTGGACAGTGCACCGCCCGGGGACTCCGTTATTCTCCTGGGGGACTTCAACGCCCATGTGGGAAACGCCAGTGACACTTGGAGAGGGGTGATCGGGAAGAACGGCCCCCCTGATCTGAACCCAAGCGGAGTTCAGTTGTTGGACTTCTGTGCCAGTCACGGTCTGTCCATCACGAACACCATGTTCGAGCACAAGGGTGTCCATCAGTGCACGTGGCACCAGGACACCCTAGGCCGGAGGTTGATGATCGACTTTGTAGTCGTATCATCTGACCTTCGACCGCGTGTCTCGGACACTCGGGTAAAGAGAGGGGCGGAGCTGTCAACCGATCATCACCTGGTCGTGAGTTGGATCCGCTGGCAGGGGAGGAAGCCGGTCAGACCTGGCAGGCCCAAGCGTGTAGTGAGGGTCTGCTGGGAACGTCTCGCTGAGCCCCCTGTCAGACGGACTTTCAACTCACACCTCCGGAAGAGCTTCTCCCAGGACCCAGAGGAGGGGGACATTGAGTCCGAGTGGACCATGTTCTCTTCCTCTATCGCCAATAAAGCGGCTGTGTCGTAGCTGTGGTCGCAAGGTCTCTGGTGCTGGTCCCCGAACCCGGTGGTGGACACCGGCAGTAAGGGATGCCGTCAGGCTGAAGAAGGAGTCCTATCGAGCAATGATGGTTCGTGGGACTCCTGAGGCAGCTGTCCAGTACCGGCAGGCCAAGTGTGCTGCGGCCCGGGCTGTTGCAGAGGCAAAAACCCGGGACTGGGAGGACTTCGGAGAGTCCATGGAGCATGACTATCGGTCGGCCTCAAAAAGGTTCTGGCAAACCCTCCGGCGCCTCAGGAGGGGGAAGCAGTTCTTTGCCAACACCGTGTATGGTGCGGGTGGAGAGCTGCTGATCTCGACTGGGGATATTGTAACCCTAACCCTAACCCGGAGATGGTAGCCTTGAAAAACCCCATGCATTGCAGAGCACAAGACTGCATTGGAAAATCCTGTGTCCGATGCTCGACATGCAATGTGTACCTGTGCTTGCAAAGTGAACGCAACTGCTTTGCAGCATTTCACACTTGCCAATAGGGCTCTTCCAAACAGGCAGACAGATTGCTTTCTAGAAAAAGAGAGGGAGCTAGTTTGAAAAATGCCCCGGTTCAAAAGCTGTTCAGCAGAATTTTACTGTTTTAGGACTGTTAATAATGTTTGCCATTATTTGTTCTAGTATTGTATTTATCAATTCAATTCAGCCATATTGAAGGCTTGAAATAGACAGTTTACACAGTATTTTGCAGTTTTATTTATGTATAGCCAATTTTTTGTCATGTGGATGAATGAAGATAAAGAGAACCCAAATTGCAGGACTGAAAATCAAAGTAATTTAATAAAATAAATCCAAGGTAATGTAAAAACAACTGAAGACAGGACAAACGTTGTGGAGACAATGGACGGACAACAAGTGAGGAAGGGCACAGGGTATATATACACACACAGGGACACACAGGTGAATCACATAAGGGCGGGGCAACAATCAACAGGACAGGCAGGATTCAAACTCAACCAGGTCAAAATGTCCACACCATGACATTTTTAGGCTTTGAAGATAGAGCTGTTTGGATTTTATGTCTAACTTTGATGTTTACATTTTTCGAATAAACTGTTATATACTATTTTAGACCAATGGAGTCTATTTGTATTGTATAGTAAGGTCGACCCACTGTACTCATATGAGGACATTGATTTTTGAGAGAAGTACTAATTGGATCAAGCTGAAATTTTGAATTTCAAGTAATTAGGACCTTCCGGCCTCAAAGAGCATACATTTTTTCTTTAGGTTATGAGAGACCCACTGTCCTCATACGAGGACATGTTTTTTCTCAAAAACTACTTCCTGTACAAAATCACAATTTAGGTATTATACTTATTGGGTCCTACTTATCCTAAATAGCAACAAAATATATAAAATGCACACCAGACAAATGCTCGGGTCTCAGGATTTAAATTACATACACATACATGTAAAAAGTAAAATGGTAAAACTCAGTTGGTGTTAAGTGTGTGTGTGTGTGCGTGTCTATGCATCAGTATGTGTGTGTCCCTCTGTAGCCCCAGCCTCAGAGGCGTCAAACATCATGCTGACATCCGCATCCAGCCTCCTGTTGCACGAGCCTCAGTACTACAGATGATGTCATCGCTGACCGAGAGGAGGAGGGGGAGGAGGGAGAGGGAGGGAGGAGGAGGGATGAGGCCGGCCCACAGCAGCAGGGGCCAGGGCGACTCCAAACGCCTGCTCCTCGTTTGTCAAGTTACACGTGGTGATGCTTGAAGGCACCGGAAACTCACAAGCGCGTATAAAAATAAGACACTTTGTTTTGTTAATGAGACGTGTGTGTGGTATGTGTGTAAAATTAGATTAAAGACTTTATAGATCTCACGTGGGAGAAATTTACATGTCACGTTTTGCATTGATCGAATAACTAAGATTGTACAAAAGACAAAAGTGTGCAAAAATGTTACAAGTAAAAAATGTAGTCTCTGCAGGATATAAATATTTATTTATTTATTTGATCAGGACAACACACATTAATGAACAATCGTATACAATTTGTACACAATTGTAAATGTACCAGATTGTAGCCAAACTGCTAATTTACATCTGTAGTCCCGAGGCAGGTCACACAACAATAATAATACAAAAGGACAATGTACAACTATAGAAATTACAGTTAGTTAAAATGAGTTCAGGACTGATTTACTTTAAAATGGTGCTTTAGTTGTTTCTTTTATGTCTGTAGGAAGGTATATATGTATAAATAACATAACAACATATATGACTCTCACCTTTACAAAGCTGTGGATTTGCCAACACAGATCAGAGAATCAATCCGATCCAACATAAGAAATGAAATTATAAAAAACAACCGCATAGAACAATTGGTCAATAAGGGGCAGATGACCAATGTAGCAGGATTTTAATTCATTATGTCCAGTCAGAAACCTGTCAGGCGGGTCAAACTGGGTTTAACTTGAGTTCAGAAAACATCTCTCCATCTTCGTCTATCCTTCACTTTAACACAAGGATCAATTATTATTTCTAGGTCTCTCTGGTATCACTGCATTCTATTTTCAAGATCATTCCAAATTGCGCTTGCCTGTAGACCAACTGGTTACATATTTATGCAAGATAAAGTTCAAAGGGTTATGGCAGAAGACGTGTGACTTTTTGGTCCCATTGTGCTTAAACGAAGGTATTAACCTGTTATTACAATAGATCCATGCTCTCATTATTTGAAAACACATTTTGGTTCAAACCTATTTTATTTTGAAAGCACTCCGGGGAAGAGGCGCAGCAGAGCGAGCGCTTGTCCCGGGAGGAGCGCGTTGAGATCCGCCTGAAAAAAAAAACCTGCGACCACTGCAGCAAGAAGTGAAGAGTGTTTTCTGAGTGTGAAGCCACGGAGGAACCAGGACTGTAGAAGCAGAGGATAATACACATTTAAAACATTGATCCGACAGAACAGGTACGTGTGCGCAGACTGTGGCACTTTGCGGATCCTGGGTGACTTGTCTGGATAATTATAGCGGAGTTGACTTACTTCTGCGGGCGGAGAGGCGGTGGCGCGTCCTCCTGCAGGATTTGGGCTTTTCCAGATTAGCTAACAGTTTAATCCGTGATGTCGTGTCTCTTATTATTGTGCCCGATGTGCTGCTGTGAGTTTTTTTGAGGGAGAGATCGCACAACTGTTGCTCCTCCGCCGCATCAGTAGTAGCAGCAGTAGCAGCAGAAGCAAGGGTCTTGTTGTATGTGTGTGTGTGTGTGTGTGTGTGTGTGTGTGTGTGTTTTTCCAGACCCCAGGGGAAAAAAATCGAGTTCTGAGACAATTCTGAGCTCCGGGTTGTTGGATTGGACTGACTTTGTGGTTTTTTTTTACCTGATATTCATGCAAAAAACACATTGAAGTCATGGGGGCAGTTTTCTTACACTGCAAAAAGTGATTAAAAACATGACAAAAATTGCTCCAATTAGGGAAAACAATGTATCTTAATTTGAGCACATTTCGACTGCCTTATAATGAGATTTGCTAATGGGACTAAGTAAAATGATCTTGTTTCAAAAAGATACAAGAAATTCTCCTTTTGGATTGAGAAAATAAAGCAACAGTTGAAATAGAAAAAAATGGCTTTGCCCCATTGGAATTCTTGTTTTAAGACAGTCAGAAAAAAACACATCAAACAATTATTACCTCATTTTTTGCAGTGTATTGCTTATTGCTTCTACATGTTTCCAGTATAGTTGTTGGGCCTATAGAGTTTGTCTTCCACTGTTGATTATGGAGCACACAGATGTTAACTCTTTGGTCCCAACAAACTTCAAATCTTTCAATGTTTTGTCAACTGCAGCCTGTTGAACACTTCACTTCCAAAAATTATAAAATAATTATATAAAATAATTGCTTGAATCAGGGCGACAGTAGCTCAGTTGGTAGAGCATTGGCCTTTGGGCCTGAAGGTCGTGGGTTCGAGCCCACCGTAAGACCTACTTCACGACTCCCACTGATGACTGCTGTCGTTGTGTCCTTGGGCAAGACACTTAACCCTACTTTGCCCAAAGCCTCAACTGAAAAGATTTCAGCTCCTGTGGACTCACCACCTGCAGGAGGATCAGTGAGGGGCTGGTGCTATGTGTACTGGGTGCAGCTCTGACTGCCGCCCCCCCGACCCAGAAATGGATTAAGGGGAAGAAGATGGATGGATGGATGGAATTGCTTGAATCAAGTGGTTTTGATGGTTTGTTTGAGTACATTCTGACTGTCTTAATGTAGTATGAATATGTAAGTCTTGCATGTCAAGTCATCATTAAATGATCATTAAATGATTTTTAATATGTCAAAAAGCATTGATAAGCCTAAACCATGCTCTTTTTGAATACTTCTGAAAACAGTAGTTCAGCCTGGATATTCAAATCTAAAAAAATAGTTTTACAACCCCTAAATCTTCTTATTGTTTTCGTTGTCGTATTTTGATGTCCCGCCCTCCACAGTTTTACCAATCAGAATGTCTGTGATCCAGGTTGCCATTTGCTTGACCCTAACCGTGTCAAGCAAATCTCACTGGTAACATGTTAGGCCGCAGAACTAAAAAAGGTCTCGTTATAATTATCAAATCATTGATGAAAAAACAAGGACAAGTCTATTTGGGCTTTTGTGAAAAAGGTGTCGATGCTATTTAGTCTTATTTCAAGAACTGTTGCTTTAATTTCTCATTGCAAGGGAAACTTTTTTTTTTTTTAAACAAGATTATTTAGCGTTGTCCCATTGGCAAATCTTGTTTAAAGCCAGAATGTGCTCAAATGTATATATTTTGCAGTGTTGTTACTGTTTTTGTTTTGGTCAAATCCAATAGCAATACCTATTAGAAAGGGGCAATTTCTCTCATTTGTTGTTATTTAATCTTGGAAAAGATCTAAGTGGCTGTCCTACTTTAAACGTGAGAGTAAAGTAGCAAGTATAAGTTTCTATAAAGTTAGATGTAGTGTGACCAGTGAAAAAGAGGTGTTTGTATGATGCAAATGCAAACCTCAGGAAAACGACCATATCCAGAAATCTAACTAAACTTAAAGGTGCCATATTACGCTTTTTTACTTTTCTCTGCTTTCAACATGATTACAGTGCTATTTGGCCTTCATACACATGAGTAGTTAAAAAGATTTATTTCTCTTTCATTCTTGAGAGGCAGCAAACTGCCTGGGCCTATGACAATTTCATCATCGATGACAAATATGATGCGCAGAAACCCCTACATTTTAAATGGTTATTAAACACTTTCGTCGAAACGGGAAAACAATACACAATAAACACGCTGTTTTTTTTGTCAAAAAGGAGAATGATAATGATAAATAATACTAAAATCCAAGAGGTGATTGACATGTGGAAACAGCGAATCAGCGCACAGCCAGCTCCCAGTCCAGCGTATGTCTAGGTACGATCCCGCGTCCACCACATGGAGCTCTACTGTTTTTTAAAATGTATTTTTGGGAGTAAATATGTGACGCGCTATTTGGCCAAAAAGGAATAATGCGTGTTTGTTTTTTTTTGCTGGGATTTTCCTCTAAAATCCGCATCTGTTCACCTGCGACACTTCACTAAGAATGTTATTCTAGGTCTGAAATAACTTAACTTGTCAAAGTTTGTGTAAGCCCTCAGTCGTACAGGGATTAGTCAAAGCAAAGGAAGGTTTCTCACCCATCATCTGTACTTCTTAGCAAGTTTTCCCGACGTTTCGTCCTCAACCTGGGGACTTCTTCAGGGAATGAATTCTCGGACCGCGCGTTGGAGATTTATAACCTATGGGTGTGGTAAGCCACACCCTAATCCTGATACTAACTCGTAAACAATCTCAGGTCTGCTTGATGTAGAAGGGAGCAGGTCTAACGACCCTGCTGAGGCTAACGACCCTAACTCCTTAGCATGTCACAGACCTATTGTCTGCTGGGATGCTCAAGTGGAGTGCAGGTTTCACCCCTCCTAACTCATTAGCATGTCACTGACCTTGTCCCAAGTTAGGGCGTTGTTTTTAGGATGTCGTCATAGATGCGATGCAAAACAAATCTTAACCCTCCTCCTCTGTTAAGAGAAGGTTTTTGTTTCCTCACAAAAATGGCTTCTTTCACCCCTCTCTCAAACCAATTCTTCTCCCGAGCCAGAATTTTAACCTCTGTGTCATCCACCGTGTGGTTGGAGGCCTTGAGGTGGAGATGAACAGTTGTTCAAACTCCTGATGTCTGCTTGTTGTGACTCTATGATGTCTGCTTGTTGTGACTCTATGATGTCTGCTTGTTGTGACTCTGATGTCTGCTTGTTGTGACTCTATGTCTGCTTGTTGTGACTCTATCTCTGCTTGTTGTGACTCTATGATGTCTGCTTGTTGTGACTCTATGATGTCTGCTTGTTGTGACTCTATGATGTCTGCTTGTTGTGACTCTGATGTCTGCTTGTTGTGACTCTATGATGTCTGCTTGTTGTGACTCTATGATGTCTGCTTGTTGTGACTCTATGATGTCTGCTTGTTGTGACTCTGATGTCTGCTTGTTGTGACTCTATGTCTGCTTGTTGTGACTCTATCTCTGCTTGTTGTGACTCTATGATGTCTGCTTGTTGTGACTCTATGATGTCTGCTTGTTGTGACTCTATGATGTCTGCTTGTTGTGTCTCTATGATGTCTGCTTGTTGTGTCTCTATGTCTGCTTGTTGTGTATCTATGATGTCTGCTTGTTGTGACTCTATGATGTCTGCTTGTTGTGACTCTGATGTCTGCTTGTTGTGACTCTATGATGTCTGCTTGTTGTGACTCTGATGTCTGCTTGTTGTGACTCTATGATGTCTGCTTGTTGTGACTCTATGTCTGCTTGTTGTGACTCTATGTCTGCTTGTTGTGACTCTATGATGTCTGCTTGTTGTGACTATGTCTGCTTGTTGTGACTCTATCTCTGCTTGTTGTGACTCTATGATGTCTGCTTGTTGTGACTCTATGATGTCTGCTTGTTGTGACTCTATGATGTCTGCTTTTTGTGACTCTATGATGTCTGCTTGTTGTGTCTCTATGATGTCTGCTTGTTGTGACTCTATGATGTCTGCTTGTTGTGACTCTATGATGTCTGCTTGTTGTGACTCTATGATGTCTGCTTGTTGTGACTCTATGATGTCTGCTTGTTGTGACTCTATGATGTCTGCTTGTTGTGACTCTATGATGTCTGCTTGTTGTGACTCACAGACTGACGACAAGCAGATATCATAGAGGAACAGAAATCCCAGATGGAAATTAACAGAGTAAACTCAGAAAAAGCGAAACAGATAATTTCATTAAATATTGCAATACTTTTCTCTCCTTTAATTGTGTATGAAAAAAAAAACATGATTCTGAACAGTTTTTTTCCTCCCCCACCACCACTACTAATTCACATCCCTGTATCAAGGGTGACGCAAAGAACTGTTTCATGAAGCTAGCGAGAATTTGAGTGGATTCGTGTGTGCGTCAGATTACTGTGTGTAAGTGTGTGTGTACGTGTGTGTGTGTGTGTGTGTCTTTAGTGGCAGCTTGTGTCTCAGGAGTCTGCTCTGTGTCTTAGCTCTGTGTGGATCCTCCTGAAGTGACCCATTTCTCACAGACACAACAAAAGACCAATCCTTCAGTCGTAATCACCGGCTACATTTGTGAATATGGATTCTTTAAAATGTCCTTGCGTCTGATACAGAACATTTGTTTAAAGACAGTGGCAATGATCCAAGACATTTGACATTCAACAATATTTATTCTAAAATAATGGGAAGATGACCAATTATGGTTGAATTTCCTGTGTTTTAACTGGGCTACACAATAATGGATTGAATTGGAATTAATTTAAATTAATTCTTTTTGTTCTTTAAGCACTGCAAACAAATATGAAATATGAGGAAATAATTGCTTTAATTTAGTGTTTTTTATGTTAATTTGAGTACATTCTAACTGTCTTTATTGCTGTGCT